GACCGCCTGTACCTTCTCAGGGTTCGCCTCTATTCCTCTCTGATTGATAAGGAATCCGAGAAATTTCCCAGACTCAACTCCAAATACACATTTCTTGGGATTGAGCATGACATGGTGCCGCCTGAGTGTGGCGAAAGTTTCTCGGAGGTCCGACAGATGATCTGTCTGTAGTTTAGACTTGACAATCATATCATCAATATATGCTTCGACATTTCTCCCAAGTTGATCAAAGAACACAGTGTTTATCATACGTTGAAAGGTGGCTGGGGCATTTTTAAGACCAAACGGCATGACCGTGTAACAGTATAACCCCTGATCAGTGACGAAGGCCGTCTTCTCCTGATCTTTCTTCCACAAAGGAATTTGATGGAAACCAGAGTAGGCGTCCATAAAGCTCATCAACGCATGGCCGGCTGTTGAGTCGACCAGGCTATCAATTTTAGGCAGAGGGTAACTGTCTTTGGGGCACGCCTTATTCAAGTCTGTGTAGTCTACACACATTCGCCAGGTACCATTCGGCTTTTTAACAAGCACCACATTTGCAACCCAGTCTGGGAAGTAACATTGCCGAATGAATCCTGCATCAAGTAATTTTTTAACTTCGGCGGCTGCCGCCTGACTTCTTTCTTCGCCATGGTTCCGCTTCTTTTGCCGTACCGGCTTCTTTTTCGGATCCACAGCGAGTTTATGTACTGCCAGATCAGGACTAATGCCTGGCATTTCATGGACTTCAAATGCAAAGATGTCCTTATATTCTTTTAATAAGTTGTGAAAGTCGTCACCAAGGTTTCTCAGAGCAGTCGTCCCAACTTTGACTGTTCGGTCAGGACGTGAATCGTCTAAGATCAGGTCCGCATGCTCACCAGCCGGCTGAGGGCGGAACTCATCCGGCCGCTCCTCTGCCAATGATTGCTATTTTCTTGCTTTTCTTGCGGACTCTGACTGTGACGCCTTTCTCTTTTTGTCGCCTGTTTCTTGAACAGGCGCACTCTCCTTGACATTGTCAAGGTCTGTTTTTTCTCCACTTGACCCAGTGGCCATAACAGTGGGCTTGACATCCGAGAGATAGCATTCTCGGGCCATCCTCTGATCTCCCCTTAGGGAGCCGACTGTTCCATTATCCCTCTCAAACTTAAGCAGCATAAGAGACGGGATTATAACAGCCTTGGAATTAGTCAGGGTTGGTCGACCCAGGATCATGTTGTAGGCCGAGAGTTCCTCTACTACTAGGAACCGGACTACCATGTGTCGTCCTTCCCCTTTTTCGCCTAGGCGAATAGGTAAATCTACTCGTCCCAGTGGGTGGACGACTCCTCCTCCAAACCCTATTAAAGGGTGGGAGGCCGGATGTATGCAGTCCGTCTGATATTTCAGTTTTGACAGACATTTGCTGCTGATGAGATCTGAGGAGCTCCCGGTATCTATGAGGATTCGGCCAACTCTCTGGTTGGCCACTTTACATTCAATAACAAGAGGGTCATCATGCGGCCCCCTTACCCCTCCTAGATCCTCTTCAGTGATGACAATCTCAGGAAACGTATATTTGGACGGCCGTTCTTGGTGAACGGAATTTACATCTAACCGCCTTATATTATCTTTGTTGCCCCTAATAGTGGGGCCGCCTCCTGAGAAGCCGCCTGCAATAGTGTAGACGACTGCATCATCTGTATCGGAACTGTCGGCCTGTTGATTCTTTTTGGCCGACTGCTTTTTTGAGGAAGTATTCCCCGTAGATTTCTTGACATAAGTGTCAAGATCACCTTGCTCAGCCAAGCGGTCTAGGTACCGCATGAGACTGATGCAGTCATTGGTGTGATGACCAACGTCATCATGATAAGCACAGACTTTGTCTTGGTTCCGGTTGGTTGCAGAACCCTTCATGGGGAGCGGCTTCTCAATTGAAAAACGTCCCTTTATTTCTTTTAGGATAAACTGGTTATCCTTGTTAAACACATACTTTGGGGAGTATGGTTTGAATTCTTTTTTCTTCTTCTGGGCCGGCTGTTTAGAGGAATCGGCCGCCCAGACCTCTTTTCTTTTCTCATCTTTGTTAGACGACTGTTTCTGTCGTCCCTCTCTTTTGTCGAACCTTTTCCCGTCCGACTGTTTTATCGTACACAGATCAGTCGCCTGTATATAGGCTTCTGCTTCAATCAAGGCCTCTTGAAGAGTCGACACCCTTTTTCGAACTAAGTCAAATTTGAAGGTAGACCCGTCTTTGAGACCTCTAAAAAAGTCAGTATAGGCTACCTCATCCGGTAACCCTTGAATCTGTATTCTCATCAGGTTGAACCGCCTGATGTAAGAACGAAGCCCCTCCTTCTCACCCTGCTGAATTGTTCCCAAATCAAGGGTCGTTTTCTTTGCAGGGATGTTCATGGCGAAGTTGGAGGCAAACAAGTAAGCAAGCGTCCTGAAGCTGTTTACACAACCAGTCGGCAGGTTGCCGAACCATTGCTGTGCGATTCCCTTGAGAGTCGCTGGGAAACACTTGCACCAAGTGGGATCATCCAACCCTTGAAGGTACATCAGGTTGGTGAATGCCATCAGATGGTCTTCCGGATTAGTAGTGCCGTCATAGGCGCCTACTAGTACATTTTTTACTTTGGCCGGCTGAACGGCTTCAGTAATTTCCTTGGAGAAAGCCGACGGCTGTTCACCAAGTCTAAGCAACCGTAGCTGCCAGTCCATAGGTTGGACGTTTTTTGCTGCAGGTCCACCAAATGGAGGTGGCTGCATAAAATACTGTTGTTGCGGTACAAACGGTGGGTTTGGTACCGCCTGGGCACTATGAAAGCCGGACTGACGGGAGGTACCGCCTGACTGACTCTCATGGTACGACTGAGTATGCCTCATCGAGGTATTTTGTAAACTTTCTTGAAAATTTGAAGTAGAGGCCGACTCTGACAGTCGGTCACTCTTCTTCTGTTCTAACAGCAGACGAGCGTCTGTGTATGTCTTCTTCGACCCGTCCGCCTGAATGTGACGAACAGGTTTCCTATTTCCCGTAGGATAACGGAATTTTGTGAAATCAAGAGCAAGTGGCTCCCGCTTCTTGGATTTAGGATGAGGAGTCGCCTCTCGCCCTTGAACTGGCTTCCTCTTCAGTGAAGTGGAAGGTTTTTTGGCCGACTGCTCTCTGACTGAAGCAGGCGGCTGTTTGTTGATCAATTCTTGAATCTCTCCCTTGAAGCCCCTCATGAAGGTCATGAGTTCGTTCCTTGTGATGGGAGCAGACCCATCAGTCGGCTGTTGCCGAGCAGGCTGGGCGCCTGCTGGCTCGCTTCCTGTTTGAAGATGCTCCCGTTCCCCCCTTTCGGTATGACGGGTACGTCGGGCCCTTAGGGTCCCGTCTGGAGCTGTATGAGTTTCCACTTCAAATTCACTTTCGGTGTCATGGTCCGACTGAACTTGAGGGTCGTCTAGGGGACGCCTCTCTTCAGGAGTCGGTACAGACTTGGATGCCATCTCAGAAGTACTCTCCCCACAGACGGCGCCAAATGTTTCGGGGTTTTCTGATGTCCTGCGGGAGAGTTACAACACCGAGACTGGAACCGGCCGCCTGTACCTGCAAAATAACGGAGACTCCTGAGAGCTCCGCCTCCAACGGTCAAGTTAGTACCTGATTAAGGAGTAATGATTACGGAAATTAAAGTAATAAGGTCTCTCTAGGTGAGAGTGTTTAATGTATAATCCGTGAGTGATTAGTGTTCTGTCACTTTTTCTCTCTCTGATTCTCTCTTTTCTTAATGAGGATTAAGAAGAGTATTTATAGTCTTGAGAAGCGTGCCACTCTCTAGGTTTAGGGTAAACCTAGGGCTGACCGGGCCTCTAAACAGGATTGGGCCTTGGTGGCCGGTTTTCCCATTTGGCATGGGTGGACACATGGCGTGTCTCAATTGGTCCGCAGAGGACGTATCTGTGATTGACACGTGGCAGGCTCCTATTTGCCTACGTGAAGGACACGTGGCGGAACCTGGTTGGTCCACTTGTCAGAAGGTGATTGGAGGATGAAAATCCCCTAATCACTTAGCTTGCTGGTGGCATATTTCCGACCATAGGAGTTGTATGCAATAAGCTAAGCAACAAGGTATCATTTCTCCTTTTTCTAATCTAGTAACAAGTTAACAACTAACAACTAATGAGCATATGCATCTTGTTTTATTTCCGCTCATAGGGCCTGTTCATATTTACTGAACTGAGCTGAATTGAACTGAACTGATTGGAGCTGAACTGAACTGATTGGAACTGAACTGAACTGAACTAAGCTGAAATGAATATTTTATGAGAGAGGGAAATTAAGAGCTGAACTGAACTGAACTGAACTGAACTGATTGGAGCTGAACTGAACTGAACTGATTGGAGCTGAATTGAACAGAACTGAACTGAACTGATTGGAGCTGAACTGAACAGAACTGAACTGAAAATAAGTAAATATGAACAAGCCCATAGTCATTACATGCAGTTCGTTCATAAAATACATTAATACTTTCTTCGTTTTCTTTTACTTTCAACACAATCTTTAGGCGACGATTAGTGAAGGTAAACGAATTAGGATAAGAAGAAGTATAATAATTATTTTGATTAATTTATTTATTTGGTCGTTTATATTATGTAATCTCAACCTCAAAGTACGTACTACAAGGCTTTGTTGCAAGTATTAAAAACGAAAAAAGATTTTACATAAATAATAAATGTAATTTAAATATATTACTCCTTTATATCGACCTGGACTCTGAGTTGATTAAATGTTCAACCTAAAAATCTTATGCAATATATACTATAGTGATTGATTGCCGATCTTACTCTTCTTAATTATCACAAAGTATATGCAAACCAATAGATTCCTTCATAAAAGTAATAAGTATATATAGGTATTTTTGGAATCAAAATCAATATGTATATATACGGAAGAATCAAAACTTATTTTAAGATACTATGTAAAAATAGTGAGAGTGAGGAATAACTCAAATGGTTAAAGATTTCCTTTCGATTGCTTAACTTGTTTTAAACCTATATATAAAAAAAAGTGACAAATTTGCATGAAGTAACCATTCAATTGACTTAATTAGAAGACATTGACTTGTCTTATAAAAAATATTTCGTCCGTTCTATAATATAGTTCTCGTTTTTCATTTTTGGACAACCAAAATGTTATTTTATTTCTATTTTTAAATAATACTCCGTATATATAGACCATTATATCCTCATTTTTTTAATTTTAGAATACCCTTCCTCACTTTTTAATTTACTCTTAAATTTTACACATTTCATGTTACTTCCTCACTCTGACTTTTGACTATGAAGTATACTTTTTACCTTAATAAAGAATACAACCAACAATTCCGGCGGACCACTTAACTGGTTTTCTAAATGGAAGGCAACAACTCAATTTCCGGCGACTCACACGGCGGCGATTCAACCTCACGCGCCAAACGACTCAAACCAACTCGTGATCGACTCAGCGATTTACCCGATTTAGCACTCACTCACATTCTCTCTCACTTGTACATCGAAGAAGCAGCAAGAACTGCCATTTTATCGAAACGTTTCAACTCAATCTGGAACTCAGTTCCCGTACTCAATTTTTCCGACGAGAATGCCGGCAAAGTTGGTGAATTCTTCATCAGTTTTGTTGATATTGCACTTAAGCTGCATCGTCGCCGGGAAATCGAGAGATTTTCCGTCCAATTTGGGTATGATTTCATGTTTTCCAGCCCTGTTGATGATTGGATTGAATTTGCTGTTAAAAAGCAGGTTAAATTTCTGTATTTGGATTTAATTGAGAAGTGTGGTAAAAATCGGGTTCGATTTCCGATTATTGAGTATAAATTGCCAGAATTTCTGTACAATAATCAGAATTTGGTTGAATTGGTTACTAATGCTTGTAAATTTTCTACTGTGTGGTTGATTAATTGGAGTTCATTGAAGTTATTGAGTGTAACGAGAACAAAGGTGGATGAGGAATTGATTTCTAGGGTTTTGAGTGGGTGTCCTGTGTTGGAGACATTGGAATTGAGGGAGTGGATTGGTTTTGATAAGCTGAAGATTGAATCAGGTAGTTTGAGGGTGTTGAAAATTGTTGAGGAGAAACAACCGAGTTATTTTGTACACCCCGAAGATAATTGCTTCTTGGAGGTTTCGGGTCCGAATCTTGTGTCCTTGGAAGTTTCGGGTTCTTTGTATAGGACTAAACTTCGGTTGACTGATGTAGGGTGTTTGTCTAATGCTACGATGAATTTCGAGATTATGCCTCAGAACCATGGTCCTAAAAATTCTCGGTATGTTGTGAGGGATCAAGATATTATAAGGGAAGTTCTTGGGAGTCTTTGCTTTGTAAAGGCATTGACGATTGGTGCATTAAGGTATCATCCTTTCTGTCATGCTTCTCTTAGCATTATTGGTAGATGTTTAGATGTTTTCATAGCTTCAAACCATTTATGTTTAAGTAGTATTGATTCTACTAGTAGGAAATATTTCTGTATCAATATTTTTTTGGGTGCTTAGAGAGCCACAAGGGCGGGGGTGAGAATCAATCCCATGATCTCCTGGAACCGGGAGGGGAGCTCTAAGCACTTGAGCTATTCCTCACTCTCATTTCTGTATCAATATTGGCTCTTATTGACAATAAGATGTTCCCTGGATGGTATGGGGAAGTGTGTTAGGCATGGAATGCTAACCTCCTGATTGCTGGACTATGAAACATGATGTAACTTTTCTACTACGTATAATGAACTTGTAATATATGTCATCTTGAAGTGTAGGAAGTAATTAACAGAATGCCTTTTTCTGAACTTTATAGAAGAACATCAGGCGTTTTAAATACAGTATGCATATGTTTTATTCACTTTGATAAGCATGCATTGTTCTTCCTCCCTTTTTTACTTTCCGGACAAAAAGCCTTTCCTCTTACAGTAAGGCCCCGTTTGGTTTAACGTAAAACATTTTCAATGGAAAATTAGTTTTCATGGAAAACATATTTTCAAGGAAAAACACAATTGCAAATTAGTTTTCCATTGTTTGGTTGCATACAAGAAAAGTCCAAGAAAAATAAAAAATAAGAGTGGAAATGAAGGGATGAATGAGAGGGAAGTAAAAAAAGAGGTAAGGAAGAGAGAGGAAAATGTGGCTTCCCTTGTTTTTGGAAGGAAAATGTTTTCCATCATTAAAGATGGAATTTTCCACCCTTGAAAAATTGTTTTCCACTCCTTAACAAACCAAACAAAGGAAAATGGGAAAAATTGGAAAATTCACTTTCCATGAAAACCTTTTACATCAAACCAAAAAGGGCCTAAATGAATAATATTGCAACTAAAATATTTGTATGAAAAGATATAATGAAACCCTGAGCAATGTCCTGTTTTTTCAGGGTTATATGACTTTATCTCCTTTGGTGTGCACGTTCTCTTTCTTGGTGGCTTGCATTTGCTATTATAACCAAATGCTGATTATATTAACTGATTCTTGTTTACTGTATGTACTAGGCTGTATCTACATGTGAGGCTTACAACCTATCATTTCCTTGGTCCGAACGACGAAGTTTAACTCTGTGCATACCTATGCTCCAATGGGATCATTTTGGAGTAGCAAGCCTACTACACAGTTCTCCTTGTTTGGAGACTTTAGCCATCAGACTCTCTTATTGTTCTGATACGGTAAGCTTCTTGTACCTTCTATTGTTTTTTTAATTTTACTGAGAAGTGTTCACCTGCTTCTGTAAGTTCTTAGGCAATAACCCCACTTCTTAAGCTAAGAGCTCTATAGGATCTTGAGTCTGTTATATGCTGAAATGTCATGTAAGACAAAGCATGAACTATTGTAAGACCAAAATTAAAAGCTCATATATGTACAGAATTGGGTAAAAACCAAATCAACCAAATATTTAATGAGCTTGTCAGGCTACCATGGATTCACAGATACCTTGGAGTAGGGTTCCACTTTTAGGAAGGGTTAGAACAGGAAAGGTAAGGATCACACATCTTGTGGAGCTGTCTCAGACTATTAATTTTCATGCATTTCATTAGCACTTGCTGCACAACCTTCTCTTGTACACTATAGCATTAGATTCCATATGTATTATATGTTGCCATTTTTTATGCTTGGAAGATGTGGGTATTCTGTTTTACTCTGCAGTCTGCATCCAAAATATTGCTTGTTTACCATGAGACTAAATGTAGAACCTCCGTAGAGGTAACACCTTTTTTAAATATAATTTATTTATGTTGTCCATTTCTTTCGTTTATTCTTTTGCCATCAAAAGTAAGGTGACTTAGATAAAGTGCTAATGGTGAAAACATCCCTTGAGCTGGCCACTAAGGGTTGTAAGGCCCTATTTGAAATTTCCACACTTTCCAGAGCTCTTGTCTGTAGAAGTTTTCTGCACGTTTCTTCCATGAACTTGAAGAGGAAAAAAAAAAAAATGCTGAAAGGGAAATATCCCACATGAATAGCCTTGAAACTGACAGATATTTTGCTTCATATTCTCTTCCACACTTCCAAAATACAATCTGCTTTTACTAAAATTTTCAACAGCATGCTTTATTTGGGCTGACTTCACCTTTTGCAGACAATAAAAGATCTTCTGGAAAGTTGAGGTGTTTTGATTTTTTAACTTTTCATGGTAAAGATGACCCAAGTGACTATTGAAACTTGGGATAAACTTTCAATTGTTCGAATGCATTTGAATAACACAAATATTGCATTACCCAACCATGAACTCATATCTGTTAAGTAATATGCAAATTATCCTTTGACCTTTTTTTGTTCATTTGTTCAAGTTTCAAACCCTTGGCAATCAATTGGAAAGAGGAAAGTGGATTGCATCCATATAATCCATTGATAAAGTTTGCTATTCCAAATTCAAAGTTGTTTCCTCAAAGCATGGAAAAAGTGATTTAGTTACTGTAACTTTGTGATGCCAGAATGGCTATGTTGTGATTGTGTTATGATGGTTTCATTATGTGAGCCAAATAATGCAGTAATACACTAGTGCAAGTAGAAGAATGCATAGCAGTAAGCTATTTTTTCTTGGAATTGGACTCCTCTAGTTACCCAAGTGGGGTGACTCAGTTACCTTGGGACTTTCTGTTTTGGCTAAGACCCTAATGCCATGAGTGTTAATTGCAGTGTGCTTTGGAGCATCCCTTTTCCAACAATTGTGACGAGGGATACTATTGGAAGTCATGGAGTACGATTTCCAAATGTCCCCTTCATCATCTTAAGACAGTCAAGGTCATTGGTTTCCTTGAATCATGCACATCAATGAAGCCCCTGTTTCAGTTTCTGGAGTTTTTGCTTCGAAACTCTAGTGCTCTTCTAGAGATTGTTATTCAAGCGTCAAGATATGTGACACAGGGGACAATAGATGAGGCTTTAAAGCTTCTTGATGTTCCTACAGCCTCCCCCGATGTGGTAGTGCAATACGAACCCTCTCATCTCTGGGTGGATCCCTTCAACGTGCACCAAAAGTCAGCTCTTGTATGATTCAGTTGCCCTAAAGACGTGGAATCTGGCATGTTAATTTAGAACTTAAAAGTGTATTTATATTAGGCTTCATAAATTAATCGTCAACAACTTTTTAGAATATCCTTGCCTAGCTTAACTTCTATTGTATTTTTAGTAGAAAATCTAGCTCATAGCTTTTTTTCAATGTAAAGCATGGAAGAGCATTACTACGTTGTCTAAATGGAACATATAGTTGGTATGAGCAACTAGGTACTCTTTCTAGTAGAAAATCTAGCTCATAGCTTTTTTTTTTTTTAATTCATATCAGGACCAGGCAGCCGGGTTTTTACCAGTCCAAGGCTAACAGGGCTAACTACTGAACAGTGGCACTGGGTATTCTCTCTACCCCCTCCTAACACGCGCACACTAAACCCTCTCACTCAGCTCTCGCTGTGTCACTGTTAAACATTGTCATCAATCGTTCGTTCTAACAGTCTCACAGCCCAAATAGATTTCTTTTCCGATCAATTAAACAACCTATCAGAAATTTCACACAACATTACATTTGACTGCCAACAAATCTGGTTTTAACCTGCACTCTATATGTATAACATTTAATGGACTGCCTTGTTTAATCAAAGGTCAGCATTGCATCATGTTGAGCGAGGTAGCAACTTTATTTTCAAATTAAACAAAGAAACTTTTAGTCGTTTGGATATGTTAGTTTAAGAGCTAATTAAAACTAAAATTATATGGTTGTATTTGTATAATTATTCTTGTTTTAAGCAAAATAATTAAGTGAATAATTGCTGAAATATCTCGGTGTTGACTTAATAAACAAATACACAACTCCCCGTGCTTTCCATTGACCCAATTATAGCGGAATGAGGGAGCATTATATTTATATGTTGTTCATGTGAAATTGAAGTGAATAATTGCTAACTGAATAGTATAAATAATAGAGGATGTTTCGGGTGAAAACAATGGGACCTTGCCGAAGGTCCGATGAAGCGGAGAAGACTAGATTCGATCCAAGTAATGTTGGGCCGAAGGTTTCCTGCACAGTAAACACACGTAAACTAGCCTCGGGGGTGTTGCCGAGGAAGGCCCCTCCGATGCTAGAGTCAGTACAGTGTGTAGAAAGAGAACACTATGCAAGAGAATTAATTGCTTGAGGCTTTGCTTGAATGAATGTACAAATGTAATATTGATGGCTTTTATACCTCTGCATACATGGAGAAGTTGGGCCTTAGCCCAATTGGCTTGCCTTGAGGACTGATCTTTGACTTTAGCACAATTGGAGAGATGAACCTTGACCTTGGGCTTTTAATTGGATCATTTAATGCCTAAGCCCAATTGGACTAAATTGGACCCAAACAACTTGCCCCTCAGACCCGATTTGGAAGGATGACGGGTCGGGTTTGATTTAATCAGAAAAGGAGGGAAGTGAATGATTTAATTAATCCAAAAATTTGAATTTAAACCGTAATTAATGAGATAACAACGGTTAAGGCGGATGATTGTGGAAGTTGGACAGATAATGGGCAGTTTAATCGCAAGGTCGTGTGTTTAACGGTTACTTAGTGGGGTATTTAAGAGAAATTGAAACGCGGACTCCCCGTATTCCCATTCATGGAGATATAATCAGAGGCGCGTCATCTCTCCTCACTTATTCACCAACACAAACCCAGAATTCTCGAGAGAACCCAAGAACCCGCATCAAAACTTCGCAAATTCCCCGAGCATTAAGCTTAGAAACTGAGACTTGCCACTACCAATTCGTAAATCGGCAACTTTCGCTTCAGATTAAGGTAAATTCCTTTGATTTTAGTTTATTTTTCTTCGAATTCGAACTCCTTCCATTTTTTTTCGACTTTTTTCTTCGAAATTATCAATGGCAAGAGGAGTTAGGGGTAGAGCCCGTGCTCCAAGAAGAGCAAGGCCAATTCCCGATCCCAGGAACAGGATTGGGACCTGGAATGGACGAAGAGCAGAGTCTGACCCTGCTGAAGGGATTAGGGCAACTCCAATTTCCTCGGCTCCTCCTCAGAGAACGGAGGGGCCGAGCGCTTCTGGGCGGGACGATGAAGTTCCCGCTGTCCTTTGGGATATCCTCCCCGGGTTTTCAGAGTGGGAGGATGCCGAAGTAGCTTCGGCCATGATAAAGAACCGCCCCTACTCATGGTGGGTGGAGAATGCCGAACAGTATCGGTTTGCCGAACAAATTGAGTTGCATTACGACATCCTTGAAGCTGATGGGTATTGGTGCCGAATGCCCGTGGCATCCGATAGAATCCATCGTCCACCCCCGGGGTATGTGGGGGTGTACACAAGACAACTTCAGTACGGGCTGAGGTTCCCTTTGGACGTATTCGTCCGAGACTTGCCGATCCATTACAATATCTCCCTATGTCAGCTAACTCCCACTAGCATCCGAAGGGTGATGACATACTTATGGGTCTGCAATATCTTCGGCAAGCTGCCGAACCGGGGGGGCAGCGGCCGAATGCAGCATATCCCGGAGACTTGGCTCCCCGATACGCATTATGTTTTCCAAGAAAACATGCTAGCAGTTGTCGGCCTCAGCCGAAAGTTTAAGGATGGTAAGCTTCTTCGGCTGGGGCCGAGGCTTTTTAATTATCTCTTTTTCTCCTCTCACTTCGCTTTTTTATGCTGTGCCAACCTAACTGAACTGACCTTTCCCCTTTTCTTTTTCAGAGCGGGACGAGACCAACGTCGGCATTAACTACGCTCGTCTTGGCGTCAACCGAGAACGAGTTGTAACTGATCGGGCCCCCTCTATCACTGAACCGAGGCATAGGGAAGTTCATCTAGACTCTTCCCACTTCCAAATTGAGGCTGTTGCTCTGTATAAGAGGCAGAAGCCTTGGTGGAAGAAGAGAGATCCCTGGTTTCAGCTGCTGGACGAAGAAGCTGAAGCTGCCCGTACGGCCGAAGAGGTTGCACGGGTTATTGAAGCTTGTGAAGGAGGAGAAGGGTCCTCCAGGGCTGCTGAAGAAGAAGCTGCAGCTAGGGCAGCTGAAGAAGACGAGGCTTTGCTGAAGACCTCGGTGAGCTTTCAGACTTAACTTTGTCTGTTTCTGTTTTTTTTTTTTTTTTTTTTTACTCACATTCTTCCTCCCCCCTTGTCTTTTACAGTCTGAAGAGAGTAACAGACACAGAGAAGGGAAAGCCCCTGTTCGTCCCGAAGACCAGATAAAAGAAGAGTCTTCAGACTCAGACATGGACGAGCAACCGCTTCAGAAAAGGCGCCGAAGAATGGCCATCATCGGCCCGCATGACTTTCAGCGGAGGCCGATGACCATCGGCGTTGAAATAAGGGAACCCGAGGAAGGCAATGGATCGCCGAGGGTTCCCCGGCCACCACCTCAATCACCTCCAAAGACCCCTCCGCCACCTCCTGAGATGGAGGTGGATCAGAAAACTCCCGACTCTAAGGGAGGGGTCCAAGAAGAAGTTCAGGAGAGTGCTGCTGAGCACAAGAATGAGGATGCCGTGATGCCCAGTGCTGAGGGTTTCATGGCAGACATTGCAAGAGAGGTTGAGGCTTTCGTCCTCACCCCTGAAGAAGAGGAGGTCATAATAATTGACTCTTCTGAGAAGGAGGATGCTGAGCCATCCAAAGTTAAAGAAGCTCCGTCGTCATCCTTTCCTTCCTTCCAGACTCTGCAATCTGGAGAAATGGGTTTCTCGGCCCCCCGAATTCCAATCCCAGATCACATCTGGGACCTCATATGGGGTCAGAACCGAGAAGGTGCTGCAGCCTACTTCGGCGATTTTGCTGGCACGTCCGAAGTAGATAGGGCAAGAATATGATCGCTGAAGGCCACTGCTGGGATGGGCGAATCCAGCAGATCAGTTCCTGACCCAGCCAGGTCTAACCAACTGCTGATGATGCAGGTGATTTTCCTTTCCTTTATCTCCTCTAAAATTCAGCTCTATTTTTATTTTTTTTATTTTTAACTTGTGCTCCTGTTTTCAGTTCGTGCACAATCAGACTCTCACTGTAGAGCTGATAGATACCCTACAAGATAGGGTAGACGCTGCCGAGCACGACAAAAAGGTAGCCGAAGAGGAGTTAAAGCTTGCTAAGCTGAAGCAAGCAGCAGCTGAAGAGAAGCAGCAGAAGGGTGAGGAATACGAGAAAAAAGCTGCTGAAGCCTTCAAAACCTTCTGCGACGCTATGGAGAAGGAAGTTTTTCCCCCACTGATGGAAGGGGAAAAATTCCTCCAAGAGCACATGGGAGTGGACGTCTCCAAATTCAAGGCTGCCATTGAGAGCCGAATCCAGGAAGGAGCTGCTGCACAAGCTGAAGTGCAGCAACGGTTAGAAGCTCTTGAAGCCAGCAGAATGGCTGCTGAAGAGCTGCTCCAGGCCAGGGATGTCCAACTCTCAGAGGCTGCTGCTGCTGCTGAAGCTCAGAGAGCTAAGCTCCAAGAGGCTGAGGATCAGCTGATGGCCAAAAAAGAAGAAGTGGCCCAGGCTCAGACAGAGGCTTCCCAAGTTCAGCAGGAGCTGAATGAGCTGAAAGGTTCCTCCTCCAAGCTCGCCGATGAGCTGAAGAAATCCAAGGAAGACTTGGAGGAGACCCAGAAGAAGTTGGCTGATGCTGAGGCTCTACTCAAAGTCCGTGTCTATACCCAGGAAGAATATGAAATGGGTTTCAGAAACGGGTTCAGAGTGTGCCGAAGAGTCTGCCTTCATGCTGAGCCGAAGTTGGACTGGTCCAAATGTGCTGAATGGGTCCAGAATCCCGAAGACCCTCATATGAAGTATGCAACTCCAGTCGAAGCTGAAATCCTTAAGGTTGAGGAAGCCGAAGAAGAAGCTGAGAGAATGGAGTTGGAGGCTGAACAGAGGGAAAGGGAGCCTCGGCAGAGTGCAAAGCCTGCTTCCTCTGTTGCTGGGGCTGAGACCACCATGAGGCCCAACAATGCTGACCAGTCTGATCCTCGGGCTAAAGCATAGGAACTCGGGCAGTCGTCTTCAGAATCTTGCGGTTCATCATGCGCTCAACTTTAGACTTGCCGCTTTCTGAATTTTTTGCCTTGTTTGTTTTTTGCTTCAGCTTGTCTTGTCGTACAAAACAGTTTATTTTTTTGCTTCTGTACGTATTTCGGCAGCTGTTATTTTCCGCTTGTGGGCGGCTGCCGATACAGTTTATTTGAACTTGTAGCTCAATTTCTGAGCATAAATTATTAATTTGATGTTCTTTTCTTCAGCTGCTTTGTTTTTGAGTGCTTTACTGTTTCTTCAATTCTGCTGAACATAAACTTGCACTGGTAGTGCTTCTTGCCCCCCCCAGAAATTGAAGTATGGCTTCAGCTGAATAAACAATTTCTTTATTTCTTAAAAATGGGTATTCGAAACACAGGGCCAACTGAAGGCAATGCTTCGGATAATGGCTTTCTGGGATAGGCAATATCCCAGAATTGTCCATGGACTCACGCCTTTGGAGAACAAATCTTACTG